TGTCCTGCGTATTGTATGCATGTAAACAGACAAGTCCAGCCCGCCTGTGGTCTGGCCAGAGCCGCTCTAGCGCGCGCACACAAAGCGCGTGTACGCAGCTATCTCTTAACTGCTTTCTTTCCTTTTTCTTTCTTGGTTAGTTGCCGCCACAGCCATGTCAAGGGGGGTGCAGGCGCAGGTGCAAGTATAAAGCCCTTCCTCCGCTCTCTCTCATCAAACAACCATACACACCGTTTAATTTCATTCATTCGTTTTCAACACCCACACACACACACACACACACACACACACACACACACACACATCACACCACACACCACACAGCAAACACCAAAAATGCGTAAATTCAAGCCCGACCCGTCCAACAATGCTACGAGCAAGGGCCCGACTTGGGGCTGCGTCGTGTGCTGAGTGAGGCATAAGTAGGGTGGGGACTTGAGCTCCCTTGCTGCTTTGCTGCGCTGTTACATATATATCTAGACGAGGAATACCACGCCCCGTTCACTGCTTGGTTGAGGCCTTGTGCTGTGCGCTTGTGCGCTTGTGATTGCTTGTGATTGTGCGTGTGGGTGTGCGTGAGCGTGCCTACTTGCTTGGTGCAGCTGATGCGTGTGTTGCAGGAGAAGAAAGAACTGTATGATGTAAGTAAGATGAATGATAGAGATATCGAAAGAAAGGAGCCTTTGTCGTGGAAGCGGGGGAGTGAGTAGTGAGTGAGTGGGCGACGGGGGGACCACACAATCCGCGGTCGGTTGTGCTGCGCCGCAGCTACTGGGTGGGCATGGGCTTGGGCGACTGCCGGTGTAACTCCCACTTCTATTGCAGGCTTCTTATCATGCCTTGGTTGCGCCTCCATGCGTGCTGAGCTGATCTGAGCTGATCTGAGCTGCGCCGCGCCCCAGCACGACGGTGCCGGCATGTGAACTGCGAAGTCCCCAGTGCGGAGGCGGGCATGGCATGGGGTCGAGAGGGTGCGAGGGGAGGTCGCTACCTATGCCTGGCGGTGCGGGGATGGGGGGGATATCGTTGAGCGCGGCGTCGGTATCGGGCTTATCGGGGTGATGGGATGAGTGGGGGAATTAGTTACTGTTTTGATGCCAAGATGCTCTTGTATTGAAGCATCGAGACGTCGCCTACGTCGCCTTGTCGATCTGGTCTGGGCTGGGTGGTTAAACGCTTGTGCTCGGATCGTCAGAACGGAGTTATCAGTAGGTATATCCGGCTGAGGTTCGCAACGTCAGTTGCACTCTTTACCGGTTTGGGGAGGGAAACGTCGGAGTTGTTGGCGCTAGACAGTGAGTGGGCTGAACGGGAATAGCAGGCGGTTACGGTAAGAAGCTTTGGTATTGCTAACGTGAGATGATTTTTGGAACGCTGCATCGGTGGCCAGGCATTGGTGGTGTTTAGATAGCAAAGAACAGCGCAATGCCCCGCATGTGCAAAGGACATGAGCGAGGCCCTCGACGGGACTGCGCACTCTAGCGGACGCCGTCCTGCCCATCCCACCAAGTCGCAAAGAACCTGCTTCCGCCCTGACCCGTCGCAGAGGCCCGAGAAATATGCGAAGCCTCTCGCGGACTGCCGTTCCTGTCCGGTCCGCTGTGCCACTGTCCTGCAAGCAGGACTTTAATCCGATGCCTATGCGGAAAACACCAATCCGGCTTGTGCGTCGCTCGCGCACCCTGCACCCATCGTCGCCGGATATACCCGCTCGGAGGAGCTCCGCTACAGCGTACAGAGTGGACAACCCTCCAACACCCTGCTGAGCATCGCGAAAGCCGTCTGAAGCCTCGTGTACCCGCTCGCTCGCTCCCGCGCACTCAGCGTGGTGGCTCAGCAGCGCACCGACCTAAGCACTCTGTCCAGCAACAGCAGCACATACGACGCAATCTCATGATGGCGCCGCCAGGTCTCCCCTACGAGCGCCCACGACGCGATGCCGGGCTTGTCCGACGCGGGCGCGCGTCGTCCGACCGTGGTGTGACCACGCTCGGTAGTGGTGGTGTGCAGGCTGCTGCGTTCGGCTACGCGCCAGTCGCAGAGCGTTTGGCTTCGACTTGGGCGATCTTGGCCTCCAGATCCGACTTCTGGGTAAGCAGGCGGGCGCGTTTCGTTTCCAGCCCGGCGATGCGCTCTTCGACGGGGAGCTCGTAGACGACTTGGCGCGCCTGCGAGACGACGGATCACATTGTTAGCTTTGACGTCGGACGGCGAGGTGACTCCACTATGGCTTGTTACGAGTTCCTCAATTTTGCCCAGACTGCATTGCGCGGCGTCCCTTCTCTTCCTCGAACAAGTCTCCTGATGTTTGGAACGCGTACCTCTTGGTAGTCCTGCTGCGTCTTCAGCCCCGCTCCATACCAAGCTCCCATGGCCGTGACGGAGGCGACGGCTCCGGTGATGGCGACGCGACGAATGGTCTGGGGCGACGGCATGGCCTCTGTGCAGTCTTTGCGCGATGAAGAAGCAAATCCAGCGGTGTGGGTTTGATCGATGGAGGGCAGAGGGAAAAAGAGAACCATGACGGCGGGCCCTGGAAGCTTAAATCTAGCGAGCGGCAAGTCCCGCCGCGGCGCCGTTGCGGGGTGCTGCTGCGAGGTAAACATTGCCCGCCCGCCGCCAACCACCACCACCGTCACCACTTTTCGAACTTCTCTCCCTCGTCCCGCCCCGTTCCTGAACGCCCGTCAGCATGTCAAGCCACCCGCGTACCCAAAGCACCGGCTCCCGCATGAGCACTATGCCCTCCTCGAACAAGCCGCGCCAGCTCTCGCACCTCCAGTCGCAGCTCGCCCAGCTCACGGCCAACATTGCCGATATGGAAAACTTGCTGCGCATGACTGCCGTGCAGGCGGAAAGCATGCGCGGGCTCGGCGGATACTGTGGTGGAATGTGAGTGCTGCCTTCATCGCAAGGTTCCCCGCGGAAATGTCGCAATAGGTGGCGCCCAATGCAATAACGAGGTGGCATTATACTGGACGGTGCTGACCGATATGTCATTCCGCAGGTTCATGGCAGCCAGCAAGGTGCTCGGAGAAGAGACTGTTAGCGGCGGCGCAACCAGCCAGTCGGGAAGCAGCCAGGACAGAAATGCGTCTTGAGCAAAGTCTCTGCCTATTTAATCTGGCGACGCTGCCCTCTTCCCGCTCAACCCGAGATCGCTTTGTTCCAGCCGTCCCCGCAACAATCGTCCCATCCCGCCGCGCCCCATTTATTTCCCAACAGCCGCTCCATGTTCCTGTCAGCAGACTCGGATGCGACGCGGTTTCAGCTTGACAGGTCTCAACTTGGGGACAAACACACTCGTATACTACGGTTGGATCACAGGCAGCACAGCTGCGCGAGGACCAAGGATTGGAACCGCACAACTGCGCACGGCACGGTCATCTTTCCAATCAAAGACCTCCACGCCAGCAGCGCATGTACAATCATAAAAGCAGTGGACAGCGCAGGGCTAGAGTTAGTGTCAAGTAGCGGCCATGACGCCCATATGTCATGCTTCACGAAGAAATGCCAAAAAGCGCCCCCTACCCAATCCAAGCTCCACATCCACGTGTGCCATGCAGCCTCCCGCTCCGCAGCATGGCGGCAGATCCACGCACCACTAAGGGTCCCGCGCCCAAACAAACGCATGGTCCGTTTGCAGAGGGCCCAGGAGAAGGGTTCTCCCTTTCCCCCAGATCCCCACAGCCGGCCGGGTAGCTAGTCTTAATCGGCCAGGATTATCAGTAAAAACAAATGCAAGTGATAGCCGTGCGTCCGATATCTCGCTGCTGCTGCGCGTCATTACAGGGGCGGCGATGCTCATCGGCGAGGAAGATAAGCTCATTAGGGATCTGGGGTCGGAAGAGCAGCCGAAGCTCGTATCACCGTGGGCAGAGATTCCGTAAGGCTGCAGGCGCGTCGCCGAGTGCCTGGATCGGGGCTTGCTGGCGTCTGAGGCGACACGGAGTGATCGCAACTGGGCGTGCTCATTGGGCGCGAGGCTGAAGGGGAGATAATGAAGGGTACAAGGCAACGAGGCGTGCTGCGACGCTACGCCAAACAGCGACTTATCAGCGCGCATCTTGGGCTGCGTTGGCAGGCACGCCAGCGATAGCGTTATCAGGGCTGAGAATTTCGCAAAGCTGTCGCGTGCTCTTGTGGCGTTGGCTTGGATATAAAGGGCTGACGGTGCCGGCGCTGCTGCTGCTGGCTGGCACGGCTGGCTGGCTCGAATCTTTGGGGGGCTGGGGAAGTAGTTCGCCTCGCCTGGGCCACCGCACCGACCGACTGCGAGGCTGGCACTGGCACTGCCGCGTGCCCGGCTCCCCGAACCCTACCGGAAAACCTGGGGATATGGAGAAATGAAACGGAAAAAAGCTGGAGGCCTGGAGGAAGGGCAGAGGGAGGGTCCATTGCATCATGGCGAGGATGGACGGAGTCTAGCGACGGCGGCGGTGGGGGAGAAGTCGGTCCTGCTGCGCTGGCTTCGTGCTTGGGTCCGTCCGGCCATTCCGCAATCCGCAATCCGCCTGCTTCGCCTCACTTGCGTGGAGAGGCACGAGGGAGACACGGCTTGAGTTGCTCCACAGCAGCTCGGTCTTCTTGCCGGAGAGGCACGCGGCGTCACCGTGAGAAAGCCCAACCAGCAACGGTCGTCCGCGGCTTTCATGCAACCTGACCTGGACCAACTGCCGGTCGGACCCTCGCGTGTCGCCAAACGCGGTAACGCGGGCTGCCTCACTAACGGCTTTCCACCACCACACCTCTCTCAAAACGACACGGAGGGCGGACGTGCTGAGGCAGTGTTGGCTGGCCTGCACGAGTTTCCCTTTGCGGCATTCGACGTCCGACGTTTTTGCCATGTCGGACATGCCCACCGTCGCCAACACCCGATACTCCTCGACTGGAGTCGACACGGTAAAAAAAAGAAATACCGATGGCTATGGCCCCAGCGAGGCCCCGGGATCGGGCGCGCGCGGCCGCGTCCGGCAACAACAAGCGTGCGACGGCGTGCGCCAATCTGTGCGGAATAGATGACCTTCTCTCGAGATCTTCGGCGCGACGCCAGGACAATCATTGCCCGGGGTGAGGATATACGGAAATATGGACACGCGAGCAGGACAGGTGCGGTCCTTTGAATCAGAAAAAGGGCTGCTGCGCGGGCAGCGAGGTTGCAGGGCTTTGGGTACCCGCGCCGTTCGGGTTTGAAGTGCTAAGGCCGAAGCGAGCGCATTGCTGCATTGGCGCAGGTGCAGATCTCACCCACTGTGGCTTGAGATGACCCCCACTCCGCAACCCGGGAACGGGTGGGATCGTTACCGCGACGAGGCCGCTTGTTGCTTGCTCGCGTGGCTGGATGAGAGACAGGATGACGAACAACGGGCCTTGTATGGACAGATCGCGTACGAGGCTGGATCATCCGCGCTGGGCAGCTGGGGGCGGTGGGAAGGGGGGGGGGTGGTTAATTGCGGCCGTCGCCATTGGTGGTGTAGCATTCCGGGCTAGCATGTGATATGCGAGGTCCACTTCTCTCTCTCCCACCTCCCTCTCAACCTTCGAAATCCGCCGCCACAGAAACGTTGCACTGCAGGGAAGATCTCGTGCAGGACCGGGGGGCGAGGCTCACGCCTGGCTGGCTGGCTTCTTTTTCCCTCTCTCCATCTCACCACACACTCTCTCTCTCTGCCATTCCCAGGATGCCGGTTGCCCGAACCTTATCTCAGCGTCTGGTCGAGCCTGACAAATCATCCGTGATTACTCGGTACCGCTCCAGGCGATCATGAGCAGAGAAATAAATGTGTTGTGGGGCACGATCTCGTCGTCTTTCCCTCAAGGGCGAAAGTGATCTCAAACAGGACCCTGCATGGCAGGTGCAAGAGAGGCAAGATGTCTCGCGCGGAAGGGTAACGTCGAGGCACGGAACATGACGCGGCCTGTTGCCCTGGCAGATTCGGATGATGCGCAGCATTGCAGGGTTTGGAGGAGTTGGGGGCCGTTGTCTGGTGCGATCAACCCGCGGAGTGCTCTTGGCTTCCGAGGGCGAGGTACGGAGTAGTCTACCTAGTAGGAGTAGGTAGATAGCTAGTCTACGAGTACCTACGGGACATTTGGGGAGAAAGTGGGCCAATGTTTAGGAAGAAGCCGGTTGTGCGAGCACAGCAGCAATTGATGAGGCTCCTGCCCGCGATGCTCTAGATAGCCTGTAGATACTCTAGAGGATTACATCAGGCGGCGGCACGCACCCTGTCGACGGCTACGGTCCACCGCCTCGCCACATGCTGCATCCGTCGATATAGCTGCACTCAGGCTGCGCGGCGCTCCCTGCTCGCATTCCCACACTAGGCGCCAGGCCAATCCCGCCGTCGCGACCACACCACCCGCCCAAAAGCCTGCGCCAGGGCCCCAAAAGGCCCGACCGACCAAGGGCTGCCAGGCCGGCCGGTGCTAGCCTGAGCAAGAACGCTCCCCGACCGAGCGGCCTCCCCGTCACTGCCCATTAGAAGAGCGCCGTAACGGGTTTCTTCTCGACTGGCCGCACGCTTCAGCCCTCACGCAGAGGCTGCCATACCTTCCATTTCTCCCCCCCGACAATCCTCCCGCCCTTTCCGCTGACACACCCTGTGCTGTGCGCAACCTCCATCATGTCTGGGGCTCAACATGGGGAGCGTGGGGGAGACCTGCACGTCTCTCTCTTCGCCGCTGACTTCGACGCCGACGCGATTGGGGCCATGGCCGATCTGCCCTCCCTCCACACGCAATCCTCGCCGCAACACGTCCGCTTCCCCAAGGGCCACTGCGAAAACTCGTCGGGCTCGTCGTCGACCATCCAGAGCCTCACGTCGGCCAGCACCGTCGACTCCAAGCTGGACTTTTCGCCCAGCGACTCGGCCGCCCGCTGCGGCGTGCTGCAGGACACCTTCTTCCCCAGCTGGAAGAACGACGCCGCCGCGGCCGACTTTGACGACCCCGAGGAAATGCAGCGCAAGGACCCATTGGGCACGCAGATATGGAAGCTGTACAGCAAGACGCGCTCGCAGCTGCCAAACTCGGAGCGCATGGAGAACCTGACGTGGAGGATGATGTCGATGAACTTGAGGCGCATCGAGATGGAGCGCAGAGGGTTAGTGTCTTGTCGCTTCGCGCCTCTGCAGCTCCCGTTGACCAAACATGTCCGCCAGGCTGTCGAGGAAGCAATCCACCTCGTCCGATAACCACAGCAGACCCAGGCCCGCGCAGCCCTCGGCTCCCAGCGGCATCGCCCAGTTGCGCAGTCAGTCGGCCGACAAGCAGGCCCAGCACGACCTAGACGCGGCCAAGGCCGCCGACCCCATGAACCTCGACGACTTCATCGTTCCGTCATCCGTCGCCTCGCCTGCCGGCATCTCGCACTCGCCTGTCGCCACCGACGACCTGACGAGCGCAACCGCCCCCGCAATCCCCATCCGGAAGCAGACGCAGCTCGACGACGGCTCCCTCCACATCTCTCGCGCCTCGGCGCCCTCGGTCCCGCCTGCGCTGGGAAGGGATAATGAGTTTGGCTACGTGCAGCGTCACGTCCGGAAGACGAGCATTGACGAGAGACGGGTGAGTCGCTTTTGCACCGTGGTCCATGTGCTCGCCTATTGACAAATCGTAGCCGCCCAAGAGAAAGCCGGACGCCTCTCCGCAGGTACCCGCTCTGAACAGCATCGTGATACCCCACGACCCCGACGCAGAAGCAAGCTTCCATAGCTATTCGCTGGACCAGCCGCAGCAGGCCCACCAGTCCTTCGACCACGCCTCACAATCCACCCACTCTCAAATTTCATTCAACCTCAACACCTTCGACATCGATGACCCAATCATAAATTCGGCAGGACCTTTTCAGAACAACTTTACTTTCTCCCCCGTCGGCTCTCCCATGATTCACAACAACCAGGGACCCTACTCATCCATGTTTAACCCCCACTCGATGGCCTCGTCTCTCAACTCGACCGACTACTACAACTCTCCTCCCGCCTCTGCCTACCCGTCGACCGTTTCCACGCCCCAGCCGATCCCCGAAGGTAACGAGCAGATGTACTTTGACCGTAGCAGCGGTGTCGACATCCGAGGCCGCATGGGCGGCTACATGCCCCAGCAGTCGAGCCTCTCGAGCTCGATGCAGCCGTCGTTCATGTTCAACCCGACCGCGCACGACTCGATATTCGGTGCCGTGTCGTCGTCGTCGGCGGGGCCGCCTCCCCCCTTCTCGTCGCACTCATATCACCAGTCTGGTCACGTCGATCCGAACAGCGTGATACATCCTACCTTTCCTCAGGCGACAAGGTCACCTAGCATGGACATGTCACGGCATGAGAACATATTTCAGTTCGGTGCTGACTCTGACAACGAAGAGGATGAGGGCGGTGCGTTTCCTGATCGGACTCTGCCGATACAGACGCGGTACTCGCCTATGGAGGACCCGTCTATGGATTTGAACGGAGGTTTCAACTGGAACACGGATTTGTCCAACCAGTTCAACCCCACACCCGCGCGGTTCCCAGCAGGGCCCCCACGTAAGACGGTTACCATCGGCCCAACCGAGATGGTACCCTCACCGCAGGATTGGAGCTCAGGCGGCAGCTTGGGTCGCACGCATGGCTCAGCTGCATCTGTTAGTGAAATTCGGAATCGCGGTAACGATCCACGTCGCCAAAAGATACCCCGCACTTCGTCGACGCCTAACGCGGCTGGCCTGGCCCATGCGGCGTCGGCGCAGCAGCAGCGCCCTCAGTCGTCTCCCAACTCACCGCCGGAATCTGGCTTCAACTCGGCTGCGCCCTCTCGCCCTGCGAGCCCCGGAGGCACCAAATCGGGTGACCAGAACGGGGTACCTACGACGTGCACCAACTGCTTCACGCAGACGACGCCCCTGTGGAGGCGTAACCCGGAAGGGCACCCTCTGTGCAACGCGTGCGGCCTGTTTCTGAAACTGCATGGCGTTGTGCGCCCGCTATCGCTCAAGACGGACGTCATCAAGAAGCGCAACCGCGGCAGCGGCAACGCCATGCCCGTCGGCTCGACGAGCCGCTCGTCGAAAAAGGGCTCTCGCAAGAACTCGATCGCGCAGACTCCGGTGCCGGCGACGACGCCTACGTCGGGCAAGACGAACGGCGCCGACTCCGAGTCCCCCAAGTCAACTGCCGGGCCTAGTAGTTCAGCGAGTACGGCTACGGCTGCTAACACGGCTAGCAACATGAACGCGCCAAACACGTCCAAGAATGGCGTTGTGCCTATCGCGCCGGGGCCACCCAAGGCGCAGTCGAGCCTCTCGGCTTCGGCGCCGAGGAGCGCCAACTCGCAAGCGAAGCGGGTGCGGCATCAGAGTAAGTCCGGGATTCAGATTCAGGACACGGAGATGGGCGACGCGGATGATACGACTGGCAAGTCGACGATGCCCGCGCCGAGCCTGAAAAGGAACGAGCCGAAGCCGCTGGCGCAAGCGCCGTCGCTGGCGCAGTCGTCACTATCGCACGCTCCTATCCAGATGGGCTCGATGGGACAGGGGGTCATGCCCTCTGCTTCCAGCGGGCCGCAGGAGTGGGAGTGGCTGACGATGAGTTTGTAGGGGGCTTGACGAAAGAAAAGAACCTACCTTAAGCCTCGATCGAATGTTTCCGCCCTTGTTCCTCCTCTTTCCCACTGACGGGGTCAACGGATTCCCTTTGGCTGAACGCACTTCAGTCGCTTCCGTACGCATCATGTCCCGGGCTTTGCGCAGGCAAGCAGGTGTAATGGCGTTTTTTGTGCAAGTTTGTTTGCTCCGCAGCAGCACGACCCCATTCTTCCTTCACCATGACGATGATACCATTGCGGGGGTTTGTTCTTTCCCGAGCGAGGCCCTCTCTCCCTCACGCAACAAATTTCCCC